GTGTGTGTGTGTGCAAGACTGTGCCTAGGAGGGCAATGGTAAATACTATTAGTGTCTTTCTTTCTAGCTTGTGTACTCGGCTTGTAAATGCTGGCATGCCTTTGACTATGTTTGTTTGATCATGTACCTGTATAGACCCGATCGTGAGGGTGGACAGCGGTCAGTGAGGCTCCGCTCATAGATCTCTCTCTCCTGGACAGCCACGGTCATTTCATCGTGGGTGGCTGGCGGGTGCTCTGCTGTGGTTTGCAGCAGTTTGGTTGCCCCTTCTTTACTATCAAGCGACTATCGTCCGTATCTCCTCTCCTTCTTATCTTTGTATGATACTCTTTAGTAACATCTCTAATCTGGCGCTTAAATGACCAAAATTGTGTTGATAGTGCCGTAAAACATCTACTCAATTATCTCTAATCTGTGGCACTTGTGCTCGTGTATATGACCTAGAATTGTGTTGCAAATGCTGTAAAACTCTACTAAAACCAAAACTATCATTTTATCATGCAAGAGTTTCTGTCCTGCACCCGACCAGACCGGGACATCAACAATTTTTTTTAAACAGTCTTGTTCTTTTTTTGGGGGGTTCTTAAGTGTTGGGATTGTTTGGCTTGCCGTCAGTTAGAATACAGTTGCCAGGGTTAGGGTACAGGACACAAACACAAACAAACAAACGAACATACTTTCCATTTTCCTCTGTCGCGGGCTAGCCTGTTGGTGTTATGTTGAGGATGATATGAAACAAGTTAATCAAACGTAATGTTTACCGTACTAACATACGCTCATACATGGAGACTGAAAGAAAGAAACGCCTTGGGCAGCTGTGTTATGATCATGCCAGTGTGGTGCCAGATATGTGGACATTGCAATCATTTGTGAAAAGTCTTGTTTTCCGGCCGTACACTTACTCCTCTCACTAGTTTATTGGTACCGCCATAGCATCACATTTTGTATGGAGCTAATACATCGTGGTCTCAGTGTCTTCTTGTCGTGTCTCCATTTTTTTTACTTTGAAAATGTGACTTCTTCTTAAGCGCACTCTTTGTTATGAACTGTTTTCACTGTTAATAGTTTTGTAAAATGGAGATACGACAAGAAAGCGCTGATGTCACGTACTAATGAAGAGAAGTCCCCATGTGATGTTTGGAAGCTGCAAGTTTTGCGATCAGTTGTAGACGTAGGCGCTTGTGGTGTTGTGAAGCTAGGTTGATGCTGTAGCTGCTAGTGGTACGTTTCTCACGATCGTTTTTGACTGTGTGGCAGCCATCTTCTTTTTCACTGTAGAGGTTTGATTCGTTGATTCACTTTGCAAGTTACTGCTCAGAAATAGTGCTCAGCACCGCTCGCATTCTCTCTTCGGTTTTCTAAAAAATTCAGGGAATCTTGAGATGCAAGATGTTATCAGCAATTTGACTATATTTCTTTATAATACGTGCACTTTTCTCGGGGTCATGCTGTACGTTCAGAATCTCATTATGTGGTTTAAAAAGTCCTTTCAGCTTTGTCACAGAAGTTTTGATTCCCCGCACTCTGACACTTGACAGCTAAAATTCCATTTTTACGAAGACAAAGTAGGGAAAAATTGGTTATTATCTCCAGGTGTGAGCCATGTTTTCTTTGCTCTAAGGATACTTTTTTTTTTTTACAATGTTCAGTTTCAAAATTTGGAATGAATTGGAACGTTCTATTAAAAGATATCCAAAAAAAATGTTGTCTTTTTCTAAATGGGCGTTGTTTCTCTTGACCTAAAGCCTGATCTCGCACGTCATCGATCACATGGCTCACTGTGGAGGGGACTCCTTCTGTTGTTTTCCCCGTTCTGTGCTCCCCTGGTCTGTTCTGTGCCCCTATCTGTACTCTCCCATTCTGTTCTGTGCCCCTATCTGTACTCTCCCATTCTGTTCTGTGCCCCTATCTGTACTCTCCCATTCTGTTCTGTGCCCCGTTCTGTACTCTCCCATTCTGTTCTGTGCCCCGTTCTGTACTCTCCCATTCTGTTCTGTGCCCCGTTCTGTACTCTCCCATTCTGTTCTGTGCCCCGTTCTGTACTCTCCCATTCTGTTCTGTGCCCCGTTCTGTGCTCCCTATTTTGTTCTCCCCCGTTCTCCCCTGCTCTATACTCCTGTCTACACAGCTGGGAGCTCCCTACCGTCAGCTCAGATGATATCACACTTAACCTCAATCAGGGTGCCTTGGTTCCAATCTTCTTCCTCGTTTTCGTGGTTCGAATCTCTTAAAAGCTTTTATTGTCTGGTTATTTTCCCACTTGGCATAGCTCTGTCACAAATGGGCATTAAATCAGAGGCCCCATCTCCTAAACAGCTCAGTTGTGGTATGATAATGTGTAAGCAGCCAACTGTGCCCCCTGGGTGGCAGACGTCGTCTGTGTGTGTGTGTGTGTGTGTGTGTGTGTGTGTGTGTGTGTGTGTGTGTGTGTGTCAGACGTTTAGTCACACAGCTGCTCAGATGGACAAGCCCAACTTTGTTTTTTTCCTCTGTTTTTTGTATTGCCCTTCTTAATCTTTCGGTGGCCTGTGCTCCAGAAATATATATAGTGGAAATTCATATTCTGAATGTTAAAGAAAGCAGAAAAGATACCGGTACACAATTTAGGTACAATTTTTAAAGGAATAAAATGGTTTTATCTCTCTCCTGAGAAATTATTTTCTGGGCTCAGAACGTCTGAACAGCTTAGCAACGATTTGTCGTGTCCAGATTTTGCCAGCCTGTGCTGTGTCCCCAGATTTTGCCAGCCTGTGCTGTGTCCCCAGATTTGTGCTGTGTCCCCAGATTTGTGCTGTGTCCAGCCGGCTTGTTGTTCCTGGGTGCAATTGTTTACCTTTTTGTTGTCGTGGAAACTGAAAGTGAGAAGTGAGCAGTCTTGCTTCATTTTCTGCCAGGAGGGTCTGTTTAAGTGATTGATTTGTTGATAGTTGGAATGAGAAGATCCATGATTTTGACCGTGCGTGGTATCAGTTTACAGCTGTATCATACCGTACATAGGACATTTCTACTGCTCAGCTGCTGGATGTTAACCAAAAAAATTGTTATTATTATTTTCCATGAAGGTGATTAGTCTTTATTGTATTCAACTCAATTGCAGGAACGTACATGTCGACTCTGTTAACGCTTCAATCACGCTGAAAATTGTTTAATAATGGAAAGTGACGTGCATATTCACAATTTCGTATGATTTATATTTTTGCTACAGGTTGGTTATTCTCAAATTTAATGTGGGGGTTTTTTTTGTGCTTTTTGTTTTCGGTTTGGTTTGTGTTATCTTCCCAGAAGTGAAATTGGGTGAACATTTTGGCCCAGCGCTTCACATGATCTGATTCTGCATTCATTTCCTTTTCTATTGAGGTATTAAACACATATGCAGCTTTATTTGCTGAGAAATTTGTAGCCAAATATACACTCTGCTTTTAAAGTGAAATTCAGCTGTATTCTCTGAATGACCAAAAGTAAATTCCATCCACATAAAAAGAATTTCAAAGACAAAGGAAGTCTTTTTTTTGTACTTTTGTAAGTCAAAAATGAGTTGATGAAATGTGAAAATGTCTCTCAATGATTTGTGTTGTATCATGGAGGAACCAAGGGCTCGTCAAATTAACGAAGTCAAAGAAACAAACACTTTTCCACTTGTTGGGCAATTTGGATTTGTTTTTTTATATATTCAACACGAACTGCATCCATTTCAAACACAGTTAAATTTATGTGTGGATTTTACTGAAAAACGTCAATCAAATGCGAAAAAAAAATGTAATTTCCAATTCCAAGGATTCTCAATCCTCCAAACTTTGGTGGTGATTTTCTTCATCTCTTTATTCAATCGCAAAAATCATGACTTCTATTCAAGATAGATGGGTATTTCTTGTCATCAAAAAGAAGGCAAATGAAGAAGCTTGAAGATGATGCCTACTGAGCGTCTGATTCCTCCATGTGGTAACACATGTGATTTTTCTGAGTGGTGCCAGAAACTAAACCCTGTTATATTGGAGATACGAAGCAAGTAATAGGCACTTTTAGCAGAACAATTACAAAGAAATAACTGGTCGCTTTTAAGGACAAGCCGGCTAACCCATATTTCGGGGATTTCCAGAAGTCTTGACCTACACCAAAGGTGGGCATTGCCCTACTATAGGAGAAGTTTGGTTTTATGGTTTGTATATTTGTTTAGTTTTAGAGAAAACTCGTTTTTTCAAGAAACTGAACAAGGGGCAAAAACTTTACCTTCGAATTTTTCAAAACAGCATTTTTTCGGGATAGTCCCTTTGTACTTAAAAGCGACCAATTTAACAATTGTTATGTCATATTTTATTGGAAAGACGAGGTTTGGATTGGTATTGGTTCAGTGTTTTCCACATGGGTGTCTACAGCTTGGCACCGCGGTACTGTGAGTGAGAGTGAGTAGTGTGATAGACCTACTGGCACCGAGGTACTGTGAGTGAGTAATCCTACTGGCTCCCTGATAGACCCTCTAGATATAGCTTGTTCACTTCCATCTGTCCTCATTAAAGCAAATTGTCAGTCATTTATTAATTTACTGAGGGGCACAGAACTTTTATTGGCACCCCTCTGTGAGCTAAAGTATCCTCCGCTCCCATACTTGTATGACCTTAATGCAGTTGTGAGCTCCATAAAACACTTTTTTTTTAAAAACCAAATGTATATTATGTTCACACACATTCCCAGATGAGAGAAATTTAGATTATTTAAGATAAATAGAAATTACAAAGCCCAGAAAGCAAAAAAAAATGTAGAAAAGAGAAAAATTCTTTACTCCTTTTTTTTTTCATAGGTGTACCTACAATATGTATCTTTTCTTATATAGCAACAGTCAGTGTGAATTTCCTCAAAATGTTTCTTTAGTATGCCAGTGATAC